ATTTTCCAGTTAATTTTCGGATGTAAAGGTCTAGAGCGAAGTGTACGCCTCCAATCACATGGCTCAAGCCTAAACCATGTATAATGAGCGCGCGAACTTGCACTTCCAACGATTAAGAATACCACTTGCACTTCCAACGATTAAGAATACGTTGTCAAATACCGGACGCTCTTGAGAGCAAAACAATATTTTCTCCCATTTTTAAAAAATCGCTTGCAAGATTCTAAAGATCGGGGTTCTGGAATGCAGTGAAACATGGTTGCGCAAAGTGATAAAATATAGGGTCTTGCTGACTTTTGATTAAGCACATACTTAGTTATTAATTAACGTAAATGCCCTATTAATGGAAACCAAATTGCCATATAATGGACAACCATTTCACAAGACAGAAGACACACTGTATTATCTAATTCTTGCAATAGTCTAGTAAAAATTTTATTAAAGCTGATGATATGATGGAATGAAAACATGCACAATGCTGTTAAATGCATATTTTTTATTGGAATAGAATCAGGTCAAATTGACTATAAATCAAGTTGTAAGTGTTATAAAGCAAGAGTGCTTAAAAATTCAGAAAAGAACACACCCCCAACACACACACACACACACACACACACGCACACACACAAACACACAAACACACACTGGTACACCTGAAATCAAGACCTCGATTTGCAGGTAAAAAGGTCACCTTGTTGGTCTCCTCTCTACAAGTAAACATTAAAAAGTGCGTGTTCGTGCTTTCGCTGATGATGTCCCACGTATAAATTATATATTTTTGTCCTTCATAGACTCTACAAGACCTTTGGCTCTGTATAATAATGTTGTCACTATCAAGATCAAGGTCTCTTCGTTTTTAATGTGTCTGGTTTACTGACGTATTCGGCACTAGAAATGTCTTCTTCGTGCAAATCTACTCGGACAAAAAGGTTAAGGTATTTCGTCAATGCAAGGAAACCTGGATAAAGTAACTTTTCGGAAAAAAATAATTTATGCATGTCGATCTCATTCTGTTCACCCTACAATCATCGCCCTAGTTATCAAAATATGTGTTGATAGTGCCACTAGTAGTTATAATAATTATAATAATAGTAGTTATAATAATTATAATAATATCTTTATTAATACATAGCAACCAGAAGGTTGAAGTTGTACATAAACTGGATTAGGGTAAAAATTCCGAAATAAAACAGTTTACATTAAATAAAGGATGAAGAATGAGGCCAAAATGAGCTCAAAAATAAATAAAGCACCATCCTCAAAAGTTAAAAGATAAACAATAAAGACCAAGATGAGTTCCAAAATAAAACACAGACCACTAATAGTTTGATAAGGAAAAGGGTTTAAAGGTATTTTTAAAACGTTTGGTTCTGAATTTTGGTACACAGAAATTTGACTAGCTTCGTAATTTACAGGTTAAAAGCAATTCAGCTTGTCTCTGTCATTTTAAAAAAAAAAATTTCGCAAAGAATGATTGGCAGAGGTCTATGTGCCGCTCGTTCAGAGAACCGACATTTGGTAAATCGGGAAATATGATTCTAAGTGTCCTCAAATGGATGGATTCGATTATTTTGTATTGTTTCCTGCTTAATCCGGGGTGCCACACAGGACAAGCAGATTCAACAAAAGACCGGATTTAACTCTGATATACTCGGACAAGATCTGATGAGGGCAGTT